TGCCACAAGTTTGCGGTCCGGTTGTAAACCTGTTTTTTCTGCACCGTCATAACTTAGGACGGTAGGTGAATGAGGCAATGGTGAGGAAGGATTACCTGTACTGCAAAGCCTCAGAACGTCTTTTTGTCAGGCTAAATGACAGCTGAGCTTCAGTCTGGACTTCTATGATGATCTTGCAGTTTCAGTTTTCTGATTTATAATGTGGAAACTGCATACCAGATATCATGGATTTCTTCTTTTCATGAACCCACCCAAAATAATTGCCATTCTGGGTTGCAAAATTTTTCTTTTTTAAAAGAAAAGAAAGCATTTCTGGGTGATAGCTGAGGGGAAAACATGTACTTCTAAATCTTGACTCAAGGTTGCATTAAATGCCATTGCCACTAATGCAGCCATATATCAAATCAAGGTTCATATCGCAAGCTATTTATATGTAGAAAAATGAGCCCAGTGACTTTTCCGAATTCAAAAATGTACCTACTTTTCAAAGAAGCCGTGCATTTTATCAAATATACATTGCAGGGCAGAGTGTTCTACACCTCCCTGCATTGCCAAAAAGAAGAAAAATTACTTAGGGATATGTAACAGAATAATAAGAATAGAATGTTTGTTTACAACAAACACAAAGGTTGGTGCTAGTTGAGGAATCTCAGACTCTAATTTTTCTTCAAGTTTCTGGTCATCGACGAGGCCGTGTGAAATCTCAGAATTCGCTCAGTTCGCTGAAGCCACTCAGGTTTCTAGATATCTGTGAGCAGTTTTGTTTTGCTTGAATGCCAGATGTGGCCCTTAATGTGGCCCCAGGTAAAATCAATAGAATTATTAGAGAAACTAGCCAAGCATAGGGCTGCGGTGGCTCAGTGGCTAAGACGCTGAGCTTGTTGATCAGAAAGGTTGGCAGTTTGGTAGTTCAAATGGCTCCGTGACCCGTCAAAACCGCGGAGGACAAAATCGTGCTCGACGAAAGCGCGCATTTGACGTCATCACAGCACGACGAAAAAAAT